AACGCACTTTTAGTGATTTTCAACATAACCTTTGTATGGGAGGTGGGCGTGGTTATTATCCGATTTCTTCCATTTTTGAACTGTATATGGAAATGCCTGAAGGAAACGACTCTATAGAGTGGCTGACGTAGCTACTGTAGTTTCTGTGATATGTAAAAAAATTTAGTAGGGGGTGGGGCCACGCCCACTTTTCCAAAAAAATGCGATTCTTTGTGCTAAATTTCACTTTAATATCTTTATTTATGGCTTAGTTATGACACCTTATAGGTTTTCTGTTTTCGGCATTTTGTGGGCGTGGCAGTGGGCCGATTTTGCCCATCTTCGAACTTAACCTTCTCATGGAACCGAGAAATACGTGTACCAAGTTTCATCATGATATCTAAATTTTTACTCAAGTTGCTGCTTACGCAATCGGGCGGACGGACGGACGGACAGACACTGATCACTTTGGTATATATAACCCTATATCTGACTCTTGTAGTTTTAGGACTTACAAACAACCGTTACGTGAACAAAACTATAATACTCTCTTTAGCAACTTTGTTGCGAGAGTATACAAAGATAAAAGTATTGACTAAGCACCATAAGCACTTACTGTAGTACAGTAAAAGTTCTTTATACGCGGGGTATATGTTCCATAAATATGCCGCGAATACAGAAACCGTGAATAGGGGATGGTAATTTATACGGGATTATAGGGGATATGTTTCTAGGTGAAAAAAAAACAAATAGGTATATAAAAAAAACGATTTAATTGAAGTTTTTGAACATTTTAATTAATTATCTTAAGGCTTAGGCAATGGTTTGAAGAATTTTGTAATTTTTTCTTGCTTAGCAGTTTTCAAAAGCTCCTTCAATTCAGACTGATACACAACAGTCGCATTAGCAATTTGGCTCTTAAAAATTATACTTGGTTCCATAGACGGATCAATGTTCATAGAGAAATCACAGAGCTCATTTGCCATTCTTAAACCATCACTAAGATTTTTTAAATTGAATGTCACGTTTCCAGTGCTTGTTGAAGCCACTTCTGCAATAGGTTGGGAATTTAACATTTCCTCCAAGTCGGTTTCAGTCAAATCTTCATCTTGCGATTCAAGCAATTCCTGAATGTCACTTGATTCTATTTGTTCGAACCCATCTCGTCCTATTCCATTCGCGATTTCGGCAATGTTTGCCATCAAGCTTGCACAGATTCTTCGTAATTTTCTGCAGTCAGAGCAGGCCACAGTTTTTCCAGCATAACTTCAATGTGTGTGGCTTCAGTTCTTCCATAGATTCTTTTATGTTTACGATGCATTTTGCTATGTCAAATTTCTTCCAGCATTCCATAATATTCATATCAGGATTACATTCCATATTATCCAATATGGTTTTGAAGGTTCGTCTAATGTAATAGAGCTTATAGGCCTGGATTATTCCTTGGTCGGTTGAAGCAAAGCCGTCGAGTTGGGTGGTAAAAATGTCACTTTTATATTTGGATGCATGGTTTCACGTTCGCGAGGATGACCTTGTGCATTGTCCAAAACTAGGAGCACTTTAAAGTCTAAATTCGGTTTTTTTAAATAAGTTTTAACTTTAGAAACAAAACAATTCCGGAACCACTCACAAAAAATAGCGCTTGTAACCCACGCTTTCTTATTAGCACGAAAAAACACTGGCAGGTTGTCTTTGTTTTGATTTTTTAAAGCCCGAGGATTAAACGATCTGTAAAGCATCAGTGGCTTAATGGCACAATCTCCAGATGCATTAGAACATAGCAGCAGTCTAACTCTACCCTTTGCTGAATTAAATCCAGGAGAAGACTTTTCGCTCTGTTTTTGGCATTCTCTTCCAAAACAGTTGCTCAGGTTTTATTCCTCCATCAGCTACTAGTTTTGCAAACTCTTCTGGATATCGTCCTTGTCCAACCTTAAATTTATTGAACCAACCTTCTGATGCTCGAAATCCTCCATCTGTAAGGACTCTTTGCCTTTTCTCGGACCATTGAACCACCCAGGGGCACCCTTTTTTGGTTGCGGTCTTCGATCCATAATGACAACGCTACTTCCCTTTCTTCTATTGCTGGATCACGAACAATTTTAGCTGACAGTGAAGTTGAAGTTACAAACGACTTTATTTTAACTTCGCATTTTTTTTATCGATCGTACAGTTGGTTCGTTGACATTGAATGAGCGTGATATGGTTGCAAATGACTCTCCAAGGCGTAAACGATCAAGCATTTATATTTTCACTTTAAGCGGTAACACAGTTTTTTTCGTGTCGAAACTCGTTTCTCATTTTTTTTAGTTGACATTATGAACTAGGAAGAGTGCAGTAGAGACGTGTTACTCGATTACAATTTTTGTAACTAATTGAAAGACAAAACAATAAACAAGCAAAGCGGCTTTTACTATAAACGAAACAACAACATTTAAAAATATCTTTATTTATTGAGGTATAAGGTTGCTTTCATTCAACCGATGGCGGCGAAGGCGGTTTTTGTCAAAGTACTGTTGTTGTTGTAACGGCAGAATTCTGCCGAGTTGACGTTCTTGGTCGGGTAAAAATCCGGGTCCATCTATTTTACCTTTTTATTAGTCCAATTGACAAGAATTTTCGGTTGGATACCTATCGGATTAATTTTATTATTATGTATGTACTTATCAGATCCACGAATAAAAAAATTTTTAGTCGCGATTATAGAAATTTTGTCCCATTTTTTTAATCCGCGAATAGTGAAAACGCAAATAAAGGAAGCGCGAATAAGGAGCTTTTACTGTACTTGATACCATTATTTATATATTTATAATGGAATATCGATGCTTTTCAGCTATGATGATAAGAAAATAGCTATCATTAGTCATAAGTACCTGCAAGCTAAATAAATAATAATAACGGGGTACGGAATGCTAAATGAAAGTACAACCGGAAGGCGTTGAAGTGTTCTCAGGTGCCAAGGCTTTTTTAATAAACAAGTAAAGCAGAACAAAGTTCGTATGTAACGAGTAGTTTATATTATTGCAATTTGCAAAACTTTGTGGCAAAAATTCGTGAACTTTGTTCCACTCAACTCTTTTTAAGATAACCTCAAGTCCGGCCAAAATGTCCTCATCAACACAATTTTCATCTACGTGGGCTCTCTACATGTAACATAAGTAAGGTATACGAACCGTATGGAAAATAAAATTGTGATTTGTGGCGTGGACGTGTTTCTAGTTAAATTTCATCCATCTTAAATTTGCTTAAAAAAACAATTGTTTAATTCAACAAAACTATTTTACTCCATGCAACATGTTGCGAGAGTATGAAAAACATATTGATATAACGGTATTTGGCAGGTGGCACTTGTGACCTATCAGTAAGCTTTTAATTGCTTTTAAGTAGTTTCCGAAGTAAACAAGAAACAACTTATTCGTTAATAATAGAGAACACCAGCTGCAAGCTTTCAAACATTATTCATTAAATTTTAGTGAAATAATATATCATACATAGATACATATGTTTATTTTTATTTTATCAGAATAAATATCACTACTAGTTTTTTCTTACTCTATAAATATTTGCTTCTTTTTTCCCTTCCCTGCGGACTCGGTACTTCACTTGCCTCTACCATAAGTTAGTACAGCTGTTGGACGGCTTGAGAGTGACTATAGAAGTATGCGTGAGCAGTTGAGGCAAGCAACACAGTGAGAACAATTTGTCTTATCTTT